GCTAACAAGATAAATACACAATTGCTAGATTAATTTTTTTTTCTTATGTGCATGGAAAACTGTGCACATTTTTGTGTGTGGGTAATTTCATGTTTCATGGAAGCTGTTTCTTTTAATGTTTATATTATATATGCCTCAAATTGGTTCTCCATTTATGTCACTAATATTTTGATGTTTTCATTTTGACTGATAGTGAAGAAAAATTTGGTTGTCTTACATTAGTTTTTCTAGACAGTAGTTTTGTTGATCATGGTAATTTCATATGCAACTTATTGCCTTGTGTGAAGTTTTCTTTATAAAATGTATTTGTAAGTCTTTTCCCTGAAGTCTACATTATTTATTTGATATATTTTCATTTTGGTAAAATACCAGGTACCCGGTTCTTGATGTAATCCTCCGTTCCATTGAAGCTCTTTCTGTTATTGATGGTCATTCCCAAGAGATTTGTTCAAACAAAGATCTTTTTCGGCTAGTTTGTGACCTGGTCAAACTCCCTGATAAAGTTGAGGTACATTATCACTCGGAAACTTTGAACTGTGGGTATACTAAATGACGTCCATATTTATGAAATTGTTGGGTGGTGCTCTTTCCTTCACTGCTTCAGCTAATAATCTGGGAATTGGTATTCTGCTGAATTCTTGTAACTAATCAACAGCTCAACATACATAATTAATATTCTTTGTTTTCTTATAAATTTCAAGAACTATCTGTTCTTTGTATTAAAGAAATCTAGAGGCTAACATACGCATCAGTATGTGTGTTGAAGTGACTGCTGACAAATGCTACCCTTTCTTGAAACCATATTCTGAAAAGGTTATTCTATTCCAGGGAGTAATCTGTGCAACTGGATCTTTGATTCAATAGATATTTTGGTAACTTCTCCAAAATTTAGAAGGAAAAAAAAAACCTTCTGTGCAGTATGTAATTCTTAATAAATTTTTCAATAATAATACGAGCACGAAAATGAGGGCTTTAAAAAGAAAGAAAATTATGTAGCAAAGATCTTGATAATAAATAACGGAATTATGACTTATATAAGTATCTTAAACTGAATTATGCAATATATGTGTGGATATTGATATTTTGACTAAGTGTAGTAATGCTGTTGACCACGAGATAGTAGAATCTTTTCTCAAAGTTGGAGCCAGTTAAGTCTTGTGAAGTAAAGAGAGGTGTGACAATTCAAAGTGTGGTTATCAAATATTGTTGAGCCGAAAATAAAGACATTAAAAAGGACAAACCATATCATGTTGTGTGACAGAAACATGCTAAAGTATTGCTATTTTTCCTACTATTTTCCTTCTAGTTCACCATTTCATATGCTGGAAAAAGAACTTTATATGGTGATCAACTACCACTGGACAAAAATTTTCTTGTGTAGGTTACAAATTCTTGTGTCACGGCTGGAGTTCTAATTGCAAACATTCTTTCAGATGAACCAAATCTAGCTTCAGAGATATCACGGGGTAAATTGTTTATATTTCTCTTTTGTTTTGTTTTAAAGTTACCATCAGATTCTTTTGGTTTAATAACACCACATGAGGTGGAAGTGACACTACATATCCATCCAGATTTGCCTTTCTTACAGGGTCTGCTTGACATATTCCCCTTTTCTTCGGAGGATTTGGAAGCAAGGAGTGCACTCTGGAACATCATTGCAAGGTTACTGGTTAGAGTTCAGGAAAATGAAATGAGCCAATCAGCTCTCCAGCAGTATGTTTCAGTTCTAGTTAGCAAATCTGATGTGATTGAAGATGATCTTCTGGACTCCCAATTAGATGAATTAAACTCAAAAGCCAGAACTACATCTGTATCCTGTTCTGACTAGCAGTAACAATGCAATAAATTGACAATAGAATCTTATTTTCCTGCCATATGTGAGGTTTATATTGTTTCACATATCAAGTTCCATGTCCTGCAATATTTTCTTTTTCCTTTACTTTTGCTACAGCTTAGAAGGATCATCAGTCTTTTAAATCAGTGGACTGCTTCAAAGGATGATGACAAAGAGAATGAAATGATGGGCAAAATGATGGGCAACCGACATGTGGATGATATAAACATTGATAGATTGTTGGATTGCTGTTGTAAGCATTCTGAGTAAGTTGTGTTCCTCTGTTCTTAATTTTTCACGCTTTTTTGAATCCTCAAAGATATCTTGTTTTAAACTATTCTCATTACTTGACATCATTATCTTTGTGTCCCATTTAAAGGCCTAACCATCTAAGGGCCTATACTCATCCGTTGTTTCTGTTTTCTTCATAAGGCCTAACAAATCTGTTCTCATCTAAATGGGCTAACAAGTCCTTTTATGTCCCCTCCATGTGAAGAAAATCTAAAAGGAGGGGAGAGATGGAGAAGTTTTAAAGCAGTGTGTACTCCCTATTATCTTATGAAAAATGAAGCAGAGCTTAACTAGTTTAGGTCTACACACGAGCATTTTCTGGCTACCTCCTTGGGAGAAGGCCTGACTTTGGATTGGGTGGACACCCTTTGATGGGAGAAACTTTGGCAGTTGGTACTGGCAGGCTTTGTAGTCTGTTTGAAATCGAAGCGAGGTTTGAAGATGAAGAAGACGGAAGGGTATCTGGGGCGAGAGGGCGAGAGTACTTGGTTGAATTTAATTATTTCCAAGCCAATCTTGTAATGGTCAGAGTGATTTGTTGGCTGTATAAAAATCTTCTAATTTGACATCAAAAGTAATTGGCAAATCATACTGCTTTCTCTGTGTTGTTTTCATAGTGTTTGTTGATGCCTTATAATATGATACTGATCATAATAATTGAGAGCTGATTTCTTTGTTTGGCATTCGGCTGCGTGCTTGGATGGTAAGAAAATCAGAAGAGATTGATTATTTTTTATTTTTTATTTTTTTGGTCCAAATTGATAAAATGTTCTCTGTCTCTGATTTTGTGTTTACTTTCTTGTATATTAATTACGAAAGATCACATATCCTGTTTGGAGCGATGTTTTAAAGTTTCGGTTCATTGATGCTAGTTGATTTTTTGTCCACTGATCTTTATTGACAATGTCATGACTATGTATCTTTCAGGTATGTACCGCCTGCAGTTTCTCAGGACATGGACTTCAAAGAATAGACTAAAGTCACAGCAACAAAGGTTTGTTACAAAATATCACTAGGAGGAACACAATTTCTTTGGATCTCCAATAGGAAAAGGAACATAAAGTTGTGAGAACATCATTGCTGAAGACCGAAACTGCACCTCAAACATCGCCAAGGCAAGGCTGGAACAGACAGTGGGGCTGTCAACCTACCCGGCCACCTTATCATACGAAGTACTCAGAAACTAAGCACAGGGATCAAATATGATCAGTTCAAAGCTACTACAGGGCCTGTATGAGCTATGTAACTATCAACCCCGATCTTGTGCATGTGACATTTTGTCAAACAAAGAGTTCAAAATGTGAAGGGTCTTCTCCTTGTTTAGGCACTTAAAAAAAACAAAATTTTCTTTGTTTGGGATCTGCACATTTGGTAAATCATCTTTCTATCTATGCTAAATCGTCTAAGAAACACAAAAAGGAAAAAACAAGGTTACACAGGTCCTTCCATTAAGGGCCGATAGAACATTTTGTATGCCTCCAAAACTTCAAGGTACCACATTGCCTCTCGATCAGGGGAGGCCGAAAGATCAACCATCTTGTGAACCTGATATTCAGAAACAATGGCAATTTAAATATCAGTTCTTCAAATTACTTGAAATTGCTCATGTATGCAATGCCCATCTGGGCAAAAATATGCTTCAAATGAAGAGGACTTCATTAAAGTCGCAATTTTAAGAATAGTATCATCTCCGACATGCTTCTTCAAATCTTTGGTACAAAGGGGAAATTACTGCAAAAAATTTAGTTCCCCAGGTTGGAATTTTCAATTTTATTTTACCACTAGAGAAAGAGGATTCGAATTTGGGAGTTCTTAAACTGAGGAACGAGGGTAAAACTAGACCAAGAGCTAGTTGATAACCGTACCGGGACTTAGGACAACATTACATGTATCACATTTATAGATCAAGTTTGTGATCACATTCACATATCTCAGTACGACGCGGGTCCTACAATGTGATCACATAGTGATCAATAAATAAATGTGATGTAAATGATTTTACTTGAGACATCCGCTAACATTTCTATGAGCCAAATTCAGTTCCTGTATTCAATCAAACATATTATAAGGCCACAAGTAACTTGTAGCTTAAATAATTGTTCCCAGTCTTGATATCCTCTTTTACATACAAAATAATTTACCTGGATCATTGGGGGCTCATCCGTACGGACCATGTAGCGTCCAACAACCATTACATACATTCCTGCATTACCAAATAAAAAAAAAATAGAAGCAAATACAAATTAGCAGGTGCTAAAATGCGCACAAAGAAAGAAGACGCGGGAATGCTAAAGTGCGCCGGGGGTGGTGGTTACCGATATTCCAAGGGCGGCCGCGAAACTCAGGTCTGAGGGAGAGCTCGATGACGCCGGTGCCGTCGTCGAGATACAAGCACTCTCCGTCGGCGGAAACGTGGACCAAAATGCCCTTCCGGAGGTAATGAAGTAATAACAGGGAAAGAAGAGGGGTAATTTGAGAAGATTGGAAAAATGAAAAGATAAAAATAAAAATAAAATAAAAAGGGCGAAGAGAAAGAGGAAGGTGATCTTCGAACCTGTAACCAGGCACGTTGGAATATGATGTTGTGCAATTCCATGGCGTTCTCGGAAGAAGTTTCTTGCGCGTCTTTCAGTTGGACACACAGCAGCTTCAGTGCAGCTAGGTTGTAGTCCATCTCTCTCTCTCTCTGTGTGAAACCCAAAACGCAACCACGCCTACCTTGAGAGAGTGCGTTTTGGATTAACTCAAGGTAAATGAGAGCCAAATTGCTACATTTCAAATTCCATGAGAAATGAAGCAACGGTGTCGTTTCCAAAGTACATTATCAGCCCATTTAGGGCTCTCTTTTTTTGCCCTTTTTTTCTTTTTTTTTTGTCGGGTAGCATTTTAGTCTCTTCATCACATAAATTATAGGAAGATAAATAGATTTTGTCCACACACAAAAACAAAAAGATTTGTCTGCTATTTGTTGTATGCCCTATCTTTTGGGCTCCACCTTTATTAGAGAGAAGGTACACACTGAGGGTGAGGGATTCGAGCTGGTGTCATGGGGCTTGCAAACAAACACCTCTACAACTTAGGTAAACACCCAATGGCTACTGCAAAATTAATGTCAAAATTTTTGTATCATGGGTGTTTATTCTTTCACCGAATTAATTTGATAATAAAAATTTCACATTGATAACTTGGAAATAAACAAATACGGCCCTATTTTCTTTTAGTCCACTACAATCTGGCTAGAGCAAAAAACTCATCTGTCTCATATTTTCATATCTTTTTTTCTATATCTCTCTCATCATGTGATTAAAAATGGAGAAACATGAGATATGCAAGTTTTACTCCACTACGAGGCTAGGCAGTATAAAGATGTCTCTCAATGCAACAAATCTTATTCCTTTCTTTTTTTCCACTCAATAGACACAATTATTCTGATGCACACAAAATAAATAATTTTGTTGTCACTTTATTTTACTTCGACAATATTTTTTTAATTAAAAAATTAAAAAAGCACATCTACTCATTTACATTATGTGGTGTAATTAACAAGCATGCCAGCAGCCAACAGGCCCAACACTAATTAATTAATTGTAAATTCGAAATTAAACAGGAAAAATTAAATAATTTAATTTAGAAGATGAGGGAGATGCCACTGCTCAGCAAATCATCGGCTAAAACTTTGTTTGCGGCTTCCGAAGGATGAACACTATCCCAAAACACATACTCTGATGCATTGGCGCACGTGCCAATTGACTCGGCATTGCACAGTATTGATGTTTCTACCAGGCCTGTTCCACAACATGCCTTCCTTGCCTCAAAGAACCCTGTAAATTAATCACGCAAATTATTATTAAAGTTGTGTGGGCTCGTCTACTAACATTTACAAAATTATTTTTGGAAAATGAAGATTAGAAAACGAATTTTTAAGATTCGAGAGTGCATATGATATTGTGTGAAAACAACTTATGACAACGAAAACAATAAAAATAGGCAAAAAGACTGTAATAAGGCGTTATAATGAGGGGGTAATTAATAGGCACCATGTCAATTGGAGAGCTATTATTGAACTACCAAATTGAACCCCTCAACACACCCCCACACCACCATAGCCCCATCATTGGAGAAGCTCCCGTAAAAAGGGCCTTGACTTACCATTTTCGGCAGGCTTTGTGACAAGGTTGTAGAGAGGTTGGTAGATATCAAAGATGACCAAATTGAGACCAGAAAGTTGCTTTTGCAAGTTCTGAGATGTGGCATTGAGCTTGTTATTAAATGAGACAGCGTCCTCGTTAAACTTAGCCAAGCACTCATTGCTATCGGCCCCAAATATTGTGATGGCTGCTGGCAAGCATCCTAGTGGTGGCAATGTGGTCACTCCAATTTTCCTTGCTCCTAATGCATATAGATTCTGTAACAAAGGCAATTTAATTTAGTTTCTTGATATTTAAGTGTTTGCATAAATAAATGTCCCCTAAATGTAACCATAATAAGGTGTCATGAGCCAGCGCATGCCACCTCAGCGCTATATTCCAAAAGAACTAGTCACTAATAAGGCTTTTTGCAATCGCTTATGAAGCCCAGATTGACCCAGTAATTTTATTGATGTGGGACTTAACACGCCAACCTGGAGTGTTACGTACAATGAGACCCAAGGTAATCTGGCCTTTGTTTAATTGGTCCCAAAATCAAAATTCTGTTATTTTTTTCTAGACGGTGGCAGTGATATTTCTCTAATTCCCAATGTTAGAAGAAGTGCCAAGTTCAAAATACCACCTCATCGTTGATTCGAAACGAAATATGTAGGAAAAAGAATTGTGATCTACCTGAATAAATTTTGCATAAGATTGAATGAGAATGTCAGAGAACTGGTTGGCTGTGTAGACCTTGTAAAGAAGAGGATTAATGTAGTAGTTCTGAACAAAGTCACTGCTGCCAGCACTAACAAGGTAGATAGCACCAGATATGATTGATGTAAGATTGGCCTTTCCTGCAATTCCCAACACCTTGTTTTGGTATTCCTTGTAGTTCTCCAGCTGCTGATTTAGTGAAATTGTATGCTGCAAAAACCCAACATTTATACAAGACAATTTATAAACATCATGCAATGTGTTTGTGTGAAAGAGAGATTTTTAACTAGCTAGTTAGCAATATTGAAATATTTTTACATATAATTTTGCTGTAGAGTCATAATAACCAGAACCAGCTGAGGCAAAATTGGCACCAATCAAGAGGTTTTTTCCTGCAGCTTCTTTGCTAAGATAAGCTGGTGGGTAGGAAGTAAAGCCAAGATTTTCAGCTGTAGCCAAAGAAAACAAAGCAAACAAGCAAACCAAACAAAACCCAATTAGAGGACCAAAAGATAGTCTAAAAAGGAGAGAGAGAAATGCATGGATTTTCTGAGATAAGTAGGTACCAGTGAAGTCTGAAGCAAGCTTTCCATTGCAGAACCTTCCAGTTGGCTTGTGGTTGACAAAATCTCTTCCATAAGGATTGAAGTTGGCTTTGATTATGGTTTCGACATTGTTGTTATTACCAGCATCCACAACAGAGTCTCCGAATAGGAACAAGGCAGGAACCAAAGGCTGCCCATGAGCCAGAGAGAGTACCATAATTAAGAGAGAACAGGAAGCTAAGAAAGAGCACAAAGAGCCCATGCTTTTCAGAATCTTTTTGCAGAATTGAGACTCTTTTTTCTTTGGCCTTTTTGATCAGAAGTGGGACTTTGGTCAAGAAAGAATTTGAAGATGGGTTACTGAGGAAGGATATTTATAAAGAATTTGGAGAAGGGGCTATAATTAAAGTCCAAATTAAACTAGTGGAGGAAATCAAACCTAAGACGGGTACAAGAATAAATGCTCTTAACTACTTGAGCTACAACCTCCTTTCACAAATATTTTTTATCATTAGGCCATGTGTAACACAGCAATATTGCCTCAAGAAGAGCTAAACCCTTTAAAGAGAAATCTTTGACAGTGCATTGTGAGATTTCTTGGGGTACTTGCTATTTAGGCAGAAATGCTAGACAGTAATGTAACTAGAGAACAAACATATGGACACCTACCACCAATATTTGATTGGGGAGAACTGAAAAACCAAACTTGCCCTCTTGACATTCATAATAGATCCCCGATTTGATAGGGGCAAAAATGTCATTTAACTCCAGAATCAGTAGAGGTGGGAAAAAAAGGGGGTGGTTCGTGGAGTGTCCTAATGAATTGTTCTTTTAGCTGTCATGGCTTCTAGCGTACCTTTTAGCATTAGCATACCCTTTTCCAAAGTCAGAAAACTTCAATGAACATTGGCGCTTGAATTTAAGACACATATATTGCTGCAAGCAGTGCTGACAAGTTTTTTCCCCTTCAATAATTTTGTGTAGTGTGCCCTTACCAATTTCAATGGCAGTTCTCCAATCACTGTCGAACCCTTAGAAAAATTTACTGCATACCTGAAACACAGCTATTGAGACTTCCAGTTGCTCATTTATTGGTGGCACCTGCAATAGTTTCAGGTTTTTGTTGGTTTTTTTTTTTCTTGTTCCTCAAGATTTTCTCGCATATGATAGAGTATGACCTTCTGTTTTTTCTTTTAACATTTAACTTCTTCTGATTTGTATGCTGTTAAGATTATATGATTAGTTTAATGATCACATGGTGCTAGCTATTTTTAAAAAGAAAAGAAAAAAAGGGTCAGTTAGGTTTAGCTGTACCTGAAAAGAGTTCTCAGCAAGCCATTAGGAGGCCTACTAAATTTCAGCCCATTGACAGGTAATGTCTTCAAAATTTTGCAAACGACAATTGTATTATTATCCTTGATAGCTTCAGATAAGTTGCCACTTCCCAAGAACTATGGCGGCCTATTTCCACAATTTCCTTAAGTCGCTATTCTTCTAATGAAAATGTTTCAATCACAGCCTCATGTACATCTCTTGCAGATCACAGTTTAGAGGAGGCTCCCTGCGAATAAGGTAGCATTTGGAACACTGAGCTACCACGAAGGATCTAGTCCGGTCCGGTTTTTCTCTCGAATTGGAACTAAAACTGAAACTTATACACAGTCCAGTTTAGTTCGGTTAAGTTTTTATAGAAAGTGTATAGAAGAATTGAATCAAATCGGAACTAGCCAAACCAGACCTATGCGGTCCCGATTAGGTTCGGCCCTATTTCTGGTTAGGAAATATCAAAATATAAAGATGTGGAGAAGAGATAAATAGGAAGTATAAAACAAAAATAGGAAGAAGAGAAAAATATCTAGAATTGATAAAATAAGAGAGAAAGATGTAAAAGAGATAAAATAAAAGAGCAAGAGGCAAAGAGACAGTGAGGAAGAGAAATAGAAAGAAATAGGTAGAAAAGAGAGAAAGACGAAAGCAGAACAAGAATGGGTATGGTTCATTGAAAAGAAAAAAAAATTGGGCTGGAGTAGTTATTTAGTTGAGTATAACTACGACATTTGGGTATTAATCGGCCTAAAATATCTAGATATTACCTAGAGTTACTAATGTTTTATTTAAGTATTAATTAGGCTTACTAATAATTTTGGATATAAATGAATAAGTAAATTTAACATAACCAATCCAGTTCAGTTTAGACTGATTTTTTCAAGACAAGAACTGTAACAAGGACGGAAACCGATCCAAAATGATTTGGTTCAGTTTTTGAGCACAGGTTGACCTTTTTGGTCAGCACAGTTTTGTTCCCCTTTTTTTTAAAACTCAATTTGACTCGGTTCACAAGT